TATGTATTCGCGAAGGATTGGCCCCCTGACCTTCNGTTCATCGCGTTTGCGAGAACACTGTCGCGATCGCGAAGAGCTGCCAAACGTGGACTTACGCGATCACGAGTCCTCCTACGCATTCGCGAAGGGTTGGCCCCCTTGACCCTCGCATTTGCGGGCCTATGCACGCTTTTGCGTAGAAGAATGATCACCTCCTAGACTAGCCCCCCATTTACACAACGCGTTCGCGGGAAATGGGTCGCGTTCGCGTAGAGCAACCCCTAGTGCTCCACGTTCGCATCCCTTACCTCGCGTTCGCATAGAACAATTTCACCCTGACCCAACTTTCCCTTTCGTGATCGTGTGATAGGCTTCGCGATCGCGAAGCACAGAGGGCATGTGCATCAGAAAAAGCAGTTCTGCAATTTTTCTTAAGTTCAAAAACCTTCTGAGACCTATCCGAAACTTACCCGAGCCCTCGGGGCTCCAAACCAAACATGTACACTACCTCAAAAATACCCTACGGACTTGTTCGTGCAATCAAATTGCCAAATAACATCAACAACTATGAATTTAGCATCAAAATCATAAAATCACCTAAGAACTTCAAAATTTTCCAATTTTCTCATATACGGTCCGATTCACATTGTTTTAAGCTCGTTTCATACCAAATTTCACAGACTCATCTTAAATCACATATAAGACCTGTACCGAGATCCGGAACTAAAATACGGGCCCGATACCATCATATTTTAAACATATTTCATTTCCAAAAACTCATAAATATTTCAGAAAATAATTTTCTTCAAAAATTCATTTCTCGGACTTGGGACCTCGAAATTCAATTCCGAGCATATGCCCAAATCCCATATTTTCCTACGGAACCTCCGGGACCGTCAAATCATGGGTCCGGGTCTGTTTACCCAAAACATTGACCGAAGTCAACTTAAATTTATTTTAAAGTCAAAATTCATCATTTTCCACAGATTTTCACATAATGGCTTTCCGGCTACGTGTACGAACTGTGCACGCAATTCGAGGTGATGTTGTAAGAGGTTTTTAAGGCCTCGAAATGCAGAATTTATTTCTAAAATAAGTGATGACCTTTTGGGTCATCACAGAGCCGGTTCGGGTAAGTTCCTTGGCTTCATGGTGTCAAATCGGGGTATCGAGATTAACCTCAATAAGATCAAAGCCATCGAGGATATCAATGTCGTGGATAGCGTGGAAGTAGTTCAAAGGTTAACAGGCCAAATAGCTGTTTTGGGTTGGTTCATTTCGAGGTCGTCAGATCGAAGTCATCGTTTCTTTTCCTTTCTCAAAACGAAAAAGGATTTTGCATGGACCTTAGAATGCCAGCGAGCCCTGGAAGAACTAAAGCGATACCTATCGAGCCCACCTTTTCTTCATACCCCGAAGATCGACGAAAAGCTTTACCTATATTTGGTTGTTTCAGAGATAAAGGTAAGTGGGGTACTAATTCGAGAAGAGCAAGGTACGCAATTTTCTGTTTATTATGTGAGCCGAACTTTAGGGGATGCTGAAACTAGGTACCCTCACTTGAAAAAATTAGCACTCGCATTAATAAGCGCATCTCAAAAGCTAAAACCATATTTTCAATGTCATCTTATATGTGTATAAACCATTTACCCCTTCAAAATATTTTGCATAAGCCTGAGCTATTGGGCCGATTGGCCAAATGGGCTGTCGAACTTAATGGGTACGATATCGAGTATCAACCCTGAACGGCCATCAAGTCTCAGATCCTAACTGACTTTGTGGTTGATTTTACGTCGACCCTCATACCCGAAGTGGAGAAGGAACTCCTGCTAAGTTCGGGTACATCATCAGGGGTATGGACCCTTTTCACAAATGGTGCCTCGAATGTGAAGGGGTCCGGGCTTGGCATTGTTTTGAAGCCACCCACGGGTGATACCATTAGACAATCTATTAAAACTTCTAGATTGACTAACAATGAGGCCTAGTATGAGGCCATGATTGCAGGTCTCGAGCTAGCTAAAAGCTTGGGAGCAGAAGTCATCGAAGCTAAGTGCGACTCTCTATTGGTGGTAAACCAAGTAAACAAAAGTTTCGAAATTCGAGAGGATAGAATGCAACGGTACTTGAACAAACTACAGGTAACTTTGCACTGCTCCAAAGAGTGGACACTGGAACATGTGCCTCGAGAACAAAACAGCGAGGCCGATGCACTCGCCAATCTAGGATCCTCAATTGAGGAAGATGACATCGTCCTCGGGACTGTCGTTCAATTATTGAAATCAGTGATTGAAGAGGGTCATGCCAAGATAAATTCAACAAGTTTGACATGGCACTAGATGAATAAGTATATTGACTATTTGAAGAATGAAAAACTCCCATCGGAACATAAATAATCGAGGGCCCTATGAACCAAAGCTGTTAGGTTTGCATTAGATAAAGATAGAACATTATATCGGAGAACATTCGATGGGCCACTGGCGGTATGTTTGGGGCCGGGGGATACTGATTATAGTCTACGAGAAATTTACGAAGGTACTTATGGGAATCACTCCGGCGCCGAGTCCTTGATTCGCAAAATCATTAGGGCAGGGTATTACTGGGATAGCATGGAAAAAGATACTAAGGAATTTGTCAAAAAATGTGATAAATGTCAACGATTTGTGCCGATGATCCATCAGCTCGGAGAATAACTCCATTAGGTCTTATCCCCGTGGCCTTTCATGAAGTGGGGAATGGATATAGTCGGCCCTCTACCAAGCCCCCAGGTAAAGCTAGGTTTATTTTATTAGACTGATTATTTTTCCAAGTGGGTGGAAGCACAGGCCTTCGAGAAGGTCAGAGAAAAAAAAGTTATTGACTTTATTTGGGACCACATCATATGCCGGTTTGGGATACCTGTCGAGATTGTATGTGACAATGGAAAACATTCATCGGCAACAAGGTGACGAATTTCCTCAAGGCCCACAAAATAAAGAGGATTTTATCGACACCATACCATCCGACTGGAAATGGACAGGCCGAGTCCACAAACAAAACCATAATTCAAAACCTAAAGAAGAGGTTGGACAATGCGAAGGAAAATTGAGAGAAGTTCTACCTGAGGTCCTATGGGCATATCGAACAACATCAAAGTCTAGCACGGGTGCTACTCTGTTCTCTTTAGTTTATGGCTCCGAGGCCCTCATCCATGTCGAATTCGGAGAGCCCAGTGCCAGGTTTCGACATGTATCGGAAGAGTCAAATCATGAGGCCATGAATGCTAGCCTCGAGCTACTAGATGAAAAATAAGAAGTAACACTTGTTCGAATGGCCGCGAAAAAGCAAAGGATCGAAAGATACTAAATAGAAGGACCAATCTCTGACACTTCAGAATCAGGGACTTAGTTCTACTGAAAGTTACCCTCAATACTCGAGACCCGAATGAAGGGAAGCTAAGCCCGAATTGGTAAGGACTGTACAGAGTCCTTGAGGTTGTCGTCAAGGAATCTTACAAACTTAGCACGATGGAAGGCGAACAACTACCAAATAATTGGAACGTATCATTACTTAAATGATACTACTGCTAAGGTATGGCTTTATCCTTTTTTCCATTAGAGTTTAAAACTAACTCATTGCAGATCATCGATCGAAGCTACCAAAGAGACCCTTTCTGCACGAAGGCCTTAGGTTTTAAAGCATGCGTTGCACTCTTTTTCCGTTAGATAGGGTTTTGCCCAAATGGATTTTACCGGCAAAGTTTGTAACGAGGCAACAACTATATGATACCTTAGGGGGACTCAACAGTATCCAAGGCTTCTTTGCAATCAACCTTGAATACTGGGGGGGCATCACCCTCAGAGGTCATATTTTCGAGGAAAATACTTCACGCCTAAGAGGGCCTCAATAGGAAAATTTTGTAATGGGCCAAATGATCAAATGAACCGTGTCCATATAGAATAGCCGAGCACCGACGGTGAAAACATGTATGCATGTATCAATTATTTGAAGAAGCATTATGTTTATATATCAAAAACACTTTGTGCCTCAAGAAAGTTTACTATTATACAAGCTCTACACTTATAATCCTATAGGAAACGGCTCAAGGACTGAAACATGAATGTAACCCCAAGATACTCGGGGACTGTTATCGACATTCAACATATCTGAGCCATCAAAAACTCGGACTCTTAAGACCTTAAAGAGGCATCTTCCCGAAACGAAGTCCAAGGCCAATATACTCAGGGACTAACTTTTCGAACAAACTCGAAAGGTTATCGGGAAACAAGTCCAAGAGAAACACCCGAAGTCTACGGCTAAATTAAAGGCTACAACCATATGAAAAGGCTACGGCCCTACTAAAGACTACGGTCATATAAAAAGCTACGGCCTAAATAATGTGGCCCGGAGACGTCTGACTTCTGACATAAATTAAAGGCCTTCAAACACTTTGAAAAAACCGGTTAAATCAGAATACCTCGGCAAAAGCAAAAGGGCTTCGATAAATTCAGCCCTCAAATAACTTAAAGGCTTCGATAACATCAGCCTTCAAAAAAACCCAGGAGGTATTCGATCATCATTACATGAATAAATTATTAATAAGGTTCATCAAACCTTTGAATACCCCAATGGGTACAAAAAAACACATGCTAAGGCATAATTAAATTTTCACTAAGTCTTTTAGCCGAAAAGAGGGAAAAATTATATAGCCGTTCTAGAGGCCGAATTGGCCCAACTTAAAGAGCCTAAGAGCCAATATATAAGAGCCTAAGGGCCAACTTAAAGAGCCTAAGGGCCGATCTAAAAGAGCCTAAGGGCCGAAATATATAGAGTTCTAGACCTCATTCTCACTCAACTAGGACTCAAGAGTCCCACTATTCTGAGATCGCATCAAATTGATTTAAGCTTAGCTCGAGGATTAACTAAAACCTTAAGAGGTGAAGACAAAATAAAATTCAACACGAGTAAAAAATGAGATAAAAAGGTCCTTCTATATTTCCAAAAAATTATTACAAAAGATATTTACACAAGGGATACTTGCACAAAAAACACGAAAACAAAATAAGGAAACCTAAATCTACTTCGAGGCCGCATCTTCGGCAGCTGCATCTTCAGGAGCCACATCTTCGAGAGCCTCACCCTCAGGGACTTCATCTTCGTCTCCTCCAATCTCGGAGCCACTGGCTGAATCATCCTCATCAGAAAGCAAAGCGGCGACCTCTTCTTCCAAAGTCTTCGCCCTTTCAATATCGGGTGAGAGATTGAAGCCGTGAGCATGTACCTCCTTGAATGTTTCCCTCTGGGACTGTCGTCTAGCATGGCCAAATGTACTTGATAACCTAACTTTGGCTGCGGAAGAGATCTCCTTTGCCCGGGCATTAGCCACTTCAATGTCGGCTCTATACGAAGATATAATTGCCTCAGCGTCAGATTTGGCCTTGTCCAGCTCAGCACCAGACTTAGACTTAAGCTCCTCAAGTCCGCGGCCTCGATCCAGACTCTCATCCTTTACATTTTTAAGCTGACATTCGAGTCAAGCCAGCTACTCCTGAAGAGTTTCTTTCTTGGAGGCATGACTGTCCATTCCTCGCCTCTACCCTAGGGTCTCGGCCTCCTTCAGCTTGAGCTCCTCTCAAAGCTACTCCACCAGCTCGCCCTTTTATTGAAATTGCAAAGTAAAAATGTTAGAAGACCGAGCGGGCAAATCCATAATAAAACTTCAGAGGGAATATTACCATTTCGAGGGTTTTAAGACTGTCTATCTCTTCTGAGACCTTCTTAAGCTTGACTTCACATCGAGCAAGATCAGCTCGAGACTTGGAAATGCCCTTTTATGGAGAACCACATCCTTCAAAAAAGGGAAAAGTTTAACTCAGAACAACAAGGACAAAACATAGGCGTAATTCTAAAGGACAGAAAACTCACTTGTTTGAAGAGCCGACAAGCCTCATCGAAGATGAAAGAAGCATCTGGGTTGGGTCCATCTTTAATGCATGTGAGGCATTCTTGAAAGATGTCATGCCCTTCGTGGCTCGCCCCCACTTCAGAAGATCTCATGTTTTGAGCATCTCGGATTTGCCCCTCAGAGAACTCGGTACCAGGTGGTGAGTCATCCATATTAATTACCCCAAGTGATCCACTCCGGGAATTCTCTTCTATTTGAAGGGGATTGGGACCAGGCCCCTCTGTCTCACCCTCCAAATGACCTCAAAGACGAGGTGCACTCTTGCTGCCCGATGGCTCGGGGACTTAGCTCGAACTCCTCTCAGAAATCTCTTCGGCTCTAGAATGAACCGCATCAACCACCACCGGTTCGATAAACTTCGAAGCACCAGTGTTTCCTCTTTTACGAGCTACCAATAGGCAGTCTTCATCCTCTTCTTCCTCCTGATCTCGAAGGCGTTGGGCCTTTCCGGAGATAAGACCATCGTATCAACCTTGGACTTTCGAGCCGCACTTTTCTTGGGCTTCAAGCGATTTGCAGGTGACCCTCTTTTTGTTTTCTTTTCTTTAGAAGGCTTCGAGATTTCTTCTTCACCAGCCGAGGTCGGCTGCATAGCAACTGTGTCTCCGAGACCTGCATAAAGACAAAGTAAGTATTCCACTAAAGAAATGCAAGTAAACAAACAAGAGAACTCACCATGATTTTTAGCCTCCCATCGGCCCTTGGCCAAATCTCGGAAGCAACGCTTCGCGTACGAGGAAGTGGAAGCCAGTTTTCAGACCCAACCTTCGAGGTCAGGGACCGTTCCAGGAAACCAAGTAGTAGCTGCATCATCGAAAAGGGGTTAGACCAAGGGAAAAGACAATGTCGAGAAAAAAAGAGAAAGCAGGATATAAAGTTACTATATACTTACGTTTCATGTTCCACTCCTTAGGGAATGGCATCCACTCAGCAGGAATCAAGTCAGAGGTCTTAACTCGGACAAACCGACTCATCCATCCTCGATCTTTGTCCTCATCTATGTTGGAGAAGAGAGATTTTGAGGATCAACGTTGTAATTTTATCAAGCCACCTTGCTAAAGCCGAGGACTATACAGCCTGATCAGATGGTCGAGGGTGAAAGGCATATCCTCGATCTGGTTTGAGAAGAATCTTATCAAATGAATGATTCGCCAAAATGAAAGGCAGATTTGGCCAAGTGTCACTTGGTATTGTTGGCAAAAGTCAAGAATAACTGGATCTGTGGGACCCAGAGTGGGATTTGCAGGGCCCAGTGTGAATGGGTAAGTATACACGCTTAAGTACCTTGCTTTATATGTAGTGATATCCTCCTCGGGGGAAGGGATCACTACGTCTTTGTTCTCCTACTTGCAGTTCTTCTTTACTTGCTCGAGCTCGTCCTCAGTTATCAAACAGACATATTGAGACATGGACTCGCATCGGCCTGGTGTTGATACAGGTTTCTCGATCTTGAAATCGGATGTTATTTCACACGGTAGAGGAATGCACTCCTCAGTACGAGGAGGCACTACCGCTTTACTCTTGGTCAGTTGAGAAGATAAAGAAGCTTTTTATTTTTGGGGAACCGATTTGGATGTCTTAGCCATTGTAATGCAAAAATTCAAAAAAATAGAGAAGGTTGATGATGAAGTAAGAGTAAATAGAAGAGAAAGGAGAATTCAGGGAAGTTGAAAGAGCTAATAAGATTTTGAGAGCAACGTGAGAATAAAGTTTGTAAGATTGTGAAGTTGATCTATTTATAGAGGTAATTTAAGCATACTGGGGAAGATAAAAAGCCGACCGCCAGTTGCTTTCAATTAATGACTTTGAAATCGTACGAAAAGCAACCTCTCAGTCACTTCAGCAACTGACATCACGAGATTGGAATCAGGATCGAGGTGTCGAAGATCAATACATTTCTTATCAACCTACTCTAAGAAATGCGGGGACTATCTGTATACGGTTAAAATCAGAGGCCTCCAATTTATAGGCTCGAAGGTCCATCCTAGGCCCAAGTCCGGGCAAGGTCGATTCGAACCCGGTGGACTAGATTCGAGCTCAAAGACAGAGTGCAATGCTCGAGAGATAGGAGTACAAGGAGTACCAAGGCTTAGTATGCTCGACCCCGAAATAGTACCGTTATGGATTTACAACAGAATGAACTAGATTCCTGCCACGTTCCTAAAATCATGGCGCAAAACTCGAAATAGGATCATACAATTCTGTACTAGGCAGTTAGACAGTTGTACGAAGAATATTCCTTACTGTAAATAGAAATATACCTTATTTAGGGTTCCCCTATTATATAAATGGGACCCCAATCATTTATAAGACCATCTAATCATTAAAGCAAAGATATACTCTCTACTTTTTGCCTACTGTTCATTAGAATTGTCCTTTAGCTTTGCTGCTCTTACTTTACTTTTCTTGCTTAACTATTCTTATTGTTCTAAACCCACCTTGAGGTCACTAAGTTCGAGGTCACTGCTACTGAATTATATTGGTTTGATTCACTTATTTCTTTCATTTCTACTTCATATTTCTTGATTATTAATTGGTATTGAATCTAATCACGTATCTTTAAAACCACAAAACAAATTTAATTGTTACTCATATTTTCGAGGTAAACATAGCCATTGGGCTTGCTTTGCAAATCAGTGTCGTAGCACACAACCACCAATCAAAGAAACAACCAAATTAGACATATATTTGTCACTGCTAATGTCACTTCAAATAAAAACTATTAATTTAAAGAATAGCACGCTAACATCAAGTGATGAACTACCAACAAGCATTCAGCAGTTTGAGTTTTTATCTAACTATACAGTCATACCACAAATTAACAGAAAAAGAATTCCAAGCAACTTTGAAACCTAAAATATGTTGAACCAATACAACTAAATATGAGCAAAACATAACATATTAGCTTTCACTTTAAATCTAAATCATGCATAATCTATAGAGCCAAACACAAACAAATCATAACAGCTCAGTTTTTATTTTAACTCTAACAGAGAATTACAGTTTTGGACAATTACATACCTAAAGGCGGCAACAATCTAATATAACCAAATAAAGGCTCTGAGATGAATCAGTTAAGGAAGAAAAAATGAAGAAGAGATGATGTCAAGTTCAGCGAGCAGAGGCAACAGATTTCAACCCAGCAAAAACAGCAATCCTAACAGCTTGAAAGTCCTTTGAGATCCCACAAAATATCAATCAAATATGCTAGAATTTGAAAACAACTTTGTATCTCCTTTTTTGTTTTGTTTTTTTGTTTTTTTTGAAGTTGAATACTAAGAACTTTTCTTTTAAATTTCAGTTTCTATCAATGTTCTTTTGAGTGAGTGAATATGTAGAAAATAATGTGTCTGGTGAAATAAGAGTTGGAGTCCTTTTATAGAATGTGAGAATGTGTTATGTGTGAGGGAGAGGGGGTGTGGGAATATTCTGCCAACTTCCCTAAAATTCAGGGAATTGGCATCTTTTGCAACTGAAATGGACAGCTGTCCAATTTCAAAAATTCCTTCCTATTCTTCTACTCCCTTAACTTCTCAAATTGACCCCTTTTAACCCAAATTTAACCTAACTTCCTCATCTTATTGCATTTTGGTCCCGTATCTCTATTCTAGAATTCTCCCGTTGTTAAAAGAAAAAGATTCTACTCAATTCTAATTCCCAAATGCCCCCTTAAACTTTGGTAAACACAAGGGAACCCTAGCTAGGAACATACGGATCAGAACAAAGCAAAAGTGCAAAATAACTTATTTTAACATCTAATTTACTCACAATTGATTAAACTAACAGCTCATGCAATTAAACTAATTAACAATAACTGAACTATTAGATAGACATACAAAACACATACTAATCGACTAGATTTTTTAAGTATTAGAATCTGCTATATAAAATAAATAAATAAAAATTAATGCAAAGCAACTCAAACATCTAATTCCTAAACAGAAATAAGAAAAAAAAAGAATAACTAAAATCAAAATAAAAGAAGAAGAGGGAGATGAATATGAAGAAACAAATTGAAACTAAAAAGGAACAAAGAGGAGAGGTATACCTATTGCGTCAAAATCTAGCAAATCAAGAGATCAAATGCAGAACCCCAGCGAGCCAAAGAAATTGTCACACGAACACTAGCCAATTCTCCATGTAAGTCAGTGTTGTGTGTGACAATATATCCTGCTGGCCGGAAAAGGGAGAGCAAGGCGAGATGAGAGTAAACGGTGATGTTGACTGGGTTCCAGGCCTTGAGATAAAGTGAAGCTACCACGAAATGTCAATGGTCAACGTTATGGACTTTTTGTGTAACATTAACCTTTAAACGGGTAAATATTAAAGAGAAAAAGGCGATTTTGGATTTTCCTTGAATTTCTGATCCAAAAATCATGAATTTTGGATGGGTTTTGGAAGAAATGGTCAGTGGATTAGGGATGAGGGAATGGTGATGACTATCTAGTGAGAATTCAGGGCGATTTGGAGCTAAACCACCGGCAGAGACGNGGGGGGGGGGGATTTTGGACACTCTTAAGGGATTTGGGGATCAGTTCCCAATCGTCTGATCTTGAACAACAAGCGGCCACGATTGAACGTGACAAAACACTGCTGTTTCGCTTAGAGATGGTGCTGGACCAGATTTTCTTTTGGGCTGGGATGGGTATTTGGCAATTGGGTCGTTCAAATGTTGGCGCAGTCTAGTTTGAGGAACTCTAATTGAATTAATTAAGATCCTAAATAAAATTCTAAATTATATTCTTAAATTATTTTGTAAAATTAGCCTTAAAACTAATTAATTTAAAACTAAAAACTAAAATGTAAACATAACCCATGTATTTTAAGATTTTAATTGATAATGCACTTAATTAACATAATTAAATCCTAGATGCAATTAAAATCTACATGCTATGCGATGAAGAATTAAATATTTTTTGGTATTTTCATGACTTTAAAATATTAAAAATGCACAAAAATGCAACTAAATGCAAACAAACAATTAAAAAGGAATTCCTAAAATTCAATAACATTAAAAACTATTAGAAAGATTTATTTTTGTGGATTTTGTAAGAGTATTTTCATTGGGTATAAATCACGTGCTCACAATGTGTATCCCCAAAATTCAATTTTCACCACAGAAAATAAAGTATCCTCCTAATTTGTGTGAAAATAATTGCATGTGCACTTGTGTACTCCTATGACAATAAATAAAACATATAGCCAGATACTTTTAAATGTTGGACTACATTTGATGCAACATATTTTATTACATTGATATTATATATTATGTTTTAAAGAAGAATATCAATATCAATATCAACAACAAGAGTTCTAATCATAACAAAGCAGCAAGTATCATAAGGGAACAAACTCAAATGCTACCATATATAAAGAAGTATTAGGTAAAATATGATTACATTTCTTATTTATATATTATAAGTACATATATCAAAAGTACGTTTAGGCGATGATATCTAATCATTTTAAATTAAGTATTAAATATATGTAATAACATTAAAAAACATCAACAGTTGCGTTCACATAGATAAATATTTTAGGTAAATTAAATGGAAAAGGGCCAGAAATGGCCCTCTACTATCTAAAATAAGTCATATTTGGCCCCTGTTATACTATTTAATTAAAAAAGTCCTTACCGTTTGGGACCAGAAATTAAAATGTCCCTCCACCATCTACTCTGCCAATTAAAATTAAAATATCCACTTGGCAGTTTTTGATTAACCCACGACCCGGTTCATTTTATCCGACCCACCCGTAAATCACTTAATGAACACCCAAAACAGATCGGTCCGCTCATT